CTGAGAAATGAGGAGAGTAATGAACTAATTCCTTGAGCTATGTTTTCTACTAATAAACGTATCATTTCTATTTTCTAAAGCTGAGGATAATCAACTGTTGAGCAATTAAGGTTTGATAGTTAAAGTCAAAGGGAACTTACAAACTGCTTGCGACAGTAGCAGGAGAAAGCACCACACAAGCAAAGATCTTTGTACACCCCAAAATACTAAGTGGCTAACCCTTCCAGTATGCTTGTGTGTCATTGACAGAGGCTAGAAGGAAGAACCCAGCTCAGGATTAAGTTCAGACACTAAGAAATGGAAAAGGTTAGTAATACTTCATAAAATTATTATTTTTGGAACCTCCATTTTGAAATATTTGCACATTCTTTATGAACAATATAAAATTATTTTCTCATATTTCATTAACTGTGTATGTCACCTGCAGAGGTGTAATTTTTATTAATCTAGCATGGAAACTTTGTATGAAAGATTATTCACTGCTCTTAACTTCAAGGCCCTTAATTTATGCAGCCATTCTAGGAAACTTAATATTTAAACTTATCAACAATCTATTTCTCTACCATAGTATATTTTTAAATAATTGAATGCAAGCGATCAGATGATGTTTGTGGCTTTCCCAGCTTATTTCTTACATTTACTCCGAAACTACTTTCTGAAAAACTATTCCAGAACAACTTTCCATCGAGATATATTTATTTCAGAACATTAATTTCTAAACAAAGATTTATTCCAAAATATCTGTAGCCCTGTAAAGTCACCCCCTATCTTGTATCACAATACATACCAAAGATGTAACACTCGTGTACTTGGAAGGAAAAACAATTTCATATCTTCCTAGTCAAAAAAATCATACCTCATCAAGAATAACCACCTATCCAACAGAAAATAGAATAATCTTCTCCTTAGAAGTTCTGATACATGATTACCCTCAGCGAAGATGATGAGCATTTTAACAGTAACTTCAAAGGAAACAATCGAGCCAGTGTCCTCTAACATTAGTAATCACTGAGCATTATTATTATTTTTATTAAAAACAGCAACTCACCAATAGGTAGTAATCTGCCATCCTGCCCTTTTAATCTGCTACCTCTGGATACCTACATTCACCAGCGTAGTGGATGTTATGCTGAAAACAAAAGTAGATTAGGTAGATTTAGGTAAAAGTAGATTAAATAGACTCATAATGTTGGAACAGTATTACAACTATATAACAAGAAATACATTTCCTTTTGAATTATGCTGGCACCTTGAAATGCCATTCCACAGAGGATATTGTTGCAGAGAAAAGAAAGTTCCATGAACATCAGCCGTCATGGAGATATTGTAAAAGGATATCTGTGTTTCAAGGGCTTCCACAAAACATTAGAAGAATGAAAGCTGGAAAGAACGAGACTGCAGAGGGGAGCATACATGGGAAATCAAAAACTCATTAACAGAGCACCCATTGAAGCTGCAGCGATCAGCTGCAAGCAGCCTCTTGTCTCCACACAGACTGGCTGAGGGGGCTCTGCAGAGGTGCCTGGGCAGCATCAAACACTGCCAAGAGGCCTTCTGCAGTGCCTGACCCAGGGGCAACAGGCAGCACAGCCAGCACTGCTGACTGCCTGCAGTGGGTGAGGCCCTTGACCACTTTCTGGCACAGCCTCAGGCACACATGCTTCTTGTAACGCTAAACACATGTTAACTAGTCACAGGAGACTCTGTCAGCTTTCTAGAATAAGTCTAGATTTGCAGTAGCTAATTGGAAAAAAAAAGGGTGGGGAGGTTATTAAAGAGGGTTTACTGACCTATTAAACTAGCAAACAAGTCAACAAAAAAGCACTTCTTGTCTTTAGGCTAACAGTATCTAAACTGATACTTGGACTGGTAAACTAAGATTCCTGGAACAGCAATTCCCCCACAAAAAATATTTAAAAACCAGGAAAACACCAAACACTTAAAACCCAAGTCATGTGTGTGGCACATTTCATGATATATTAGCCTCAAATGACGTATGAAATAGCAGTTAATTACCTATTAAAATTTCTATGCTAATAAGAAATACTTGAACACACAAAACTGTATCTAACAGTGGACTAACACACCTCAACCCCTTGGGATTGCTGAAGAAAACCAGATCGTCCCAGTGTGTGTAGCACAGACTCATTCCTAAGAGGACTTTGCCTCATAATTTTAGAGAGCAAAACAAATCTTAGCATTAAATCAAAAGTAACAGAAGGAATAGTATAAACATAGGTAGCTAGGGCTTGGTAAACAGAGAAAATAACAGGAACTGAAGAAGTATAGTGCCTAGTAATGCTGACGTAATTACTGCCTTGTGGGTAAAGAAGTACCAGATTTGACACAGAAAAGCAGAAAACTGTGACTGAGAAGGCAATAAACTTGGTAGTGAAGGAAGGAAAGAACGAATCTTTCTTCACAGCAACAGCTGCTTAAACCTCACTGAGAAAAGCAGTGGTTGCAGGCTTGTCAGAAGGGCAAAAATCTTACTTCAGGACTGTCAGAGTAACCAGTGTCTCTCCAAGCCTTGGGCAGGAGCAAGACTGAGAGACTGGGGCTGTAAATCCCTTTTGTGCATCTAAAACACGAATAAACATTTTTACTTGTTTCAACGTAATAAAAATAAATAAATAAAACAAATCACCCCTCACATTTTCAGCTGAACCAGCTCCTGTTTACCTATTTGGTCTATTTACTCCCCAGTGAGGAAGAGCGCGAGGGCTGGTACGTCCCGAGAGGCAGGGAGCGTGAGGTACCCGCTCTCCAAGGCAGCTCACCGCTTGTCTGCCTCATCCTGAATTTCTCTCGGTGGGATCCCTGACTAGCCTTGGCTGCCTGCATCCCTGATGGCTGGAGGCTGAAGCTCCAGGTGGTCTGAGCCCCCTCAGGCTGCATTCCGCCGTCAGAACCAGCACCGGTCTCACTCGCAAGGGAAGATGCCAGTCTCATCCGAGGGCACTGAAGCCTGAGGAGAAGGGCTGGCGGTGCAGGTCAGTCAGCACCTGCTGGTACCACGGTGCGACGGGGACAGGCTGCCAGGCTGTGCCTTGAGGCAGGCTGCACCCAGAGCTGAGGGAGCCCCCTCGCCGAGGACAGACGCGCCGCCCGGCCTCACACGGGGACCGAGAGAGGACCGACGGCCGCCAGGGGGCGCGGCGATTGGGCCGCCCTCTCCTCAGCGCCCGGCGCGGTTTGGCGCCCTTCTGCCCTCCCCTCAGCGCGGGGCCGGGAGGTCGGGGCGGCCGGGGCAGCCCTTGCGAAGCTGCTTCCAGAGCAGAGGGGCTGCTGGCGGCCCCGATCAGGTGCCGAGGGAGGAAAACGCTGCCCTCAGGCCTCCGCCGAGCCCTTCTTGGGGGCCTGGGGTCGGTCCCGAGGGTGCCGAGCAAGGTGGGCTGCGGCGGGGGGCTCCGGCTGTGCCCCGTCCTCCCGTAGGTGAACGCGGGGGCTGAGGGGCTGAGGAACGTCAGGTGAAAGGAGAAGCTTGACAAATAATCGGAGCCTTGTTTGTGCTTGTCAGATCGCATACAAGGCACAGGAGTTGAGCTCAGGTGCTTTGCTATTTATACCGGTACAATCACCAGATGTCTACTCCCTCTTATCCCTGGAGACACTGCTGGCCCAGCTATGTATCTCTGTGCCCACCTCATACCCTTTGGATGACAACCTTATTGCCTTCCATCAGTGGTTCAAATTGCTTTTAATTGGCAATAAATGAAATCACACATGAAAATGTTTTACAGGCAAAACATGGTTTAAAACAGATACTTGCGATAATTTTGATTTTGTTGGATCATGACATGTGAGGGAGATCTCTGAGCAAGCATCCTAGGCTAGGCAGTGGGACAGAATGCTCCCTTTTTGCATAAGGTTAGTAAGGCTTCAATTTCTACATGTATATTTATTTATTTTTTTTAATATGGTTCTCTTTAAACCTAGAAAATTTAATCTGATTCCATATTATATAATGATGTAAGTAAGTAGAAGTGTAATTTTGTTTTGCAGAGTGCCATTGAACTTACAGAAACTCTTAAGTACTATAAGGTAGGACTAGTGAAGGAGGGTTTCAATCCAGCAATCATTAAAGATTGCCTGTATTTTCTGGATGACAAAGCCAATCTGTAAGTACAAATGACTCAGGACATTTATAACTCAGTAAAAAAAAAAAAGTAACTTCAAATTGTGAGCATGTCAAAAAATGTGTTTTATAATAATCAAGTTTTGAAGGATCTGTTATTCTAACTGTGTTGAGAAATCTCATTTATGAATATTAGCAAATATCAGTATTTGAAATAAACATGAATATGAGATTGACTTAATAAAGCAGAACTTTTCCAACTACACGTGCCTGGCTTTTCCTCTCCTTTGCATTTCTTAGCTACCATTTTTGTGCTCCCTTCCTCCTGAGTTTTATGTTTTCTAAGCTGCCTGCCCTGAGGGTCCTTCCATCCTCCACATCTCCACTCTTCACAAAAGTGACTTTGCTGACCTATCCACTTCTGTACTTCAGTCTCAATTGACTGTTACACACTCACACTAGAAAAAGCATATAAGCAGGTGCTCCCCTTCCTGAATTAGTTTCTCAAATGGACTGCACTAGGACAATTCAGAGTTAATCAGATGGACACAAACACAGTTTTAGGGCAATTCCATTCTTGTTTTCTTGAAACATGTTTACATAAAGCCTCATGTGCATTGTTAACAGATGGAATGGCAGGGCTGCTCTGTTTTTAAACTCAAAAGCTGAAAATTGCTCTAGTAGAGTAAAATCTCTCAGAAAGGTTACATCCTCCTCTTTACACAATTCAGAAGTGATGTTGGCATTGTCTGCACACGCACATCCTCACAGCAGCCTAGAGAGTTCAAGTTAATGCATTAAAAAAATAATCAATGGTGCAAGGAGAACTAAATTGTTAACACCCTGTTGAGGCCAACGTACACTGTCAAAATGTTTCTAGCTTACCAGCTCTCAATCCTGAGAAAGGACAATTTACAAAGCAGAAGTTTGCGTTTTCTTTACTATAGTCTACAAACCAGAGAGTTTAATGTTACATGTCTACAAGATTTATTTGACATTTTAATCTATAAATACACAAGGTTTTACTCCAGTAAAAGCACAAGAATTTTCTCGGTGGTCATTACCACTGCTTACATATTGAACAAAATAACACGTAGTATTGCATATGAATAAGCAAACTTTGGTTCTCCTTCTACCTGGGGAGCTCTTAAGCACCAATCTTTTACTTGTTAAACAATGGCTTGCAGAGGACAACAAGGCAGCTGAAGGCCACACTGGATGCTACACTCTGGAAAGTTTGGGACACTGTAGAACTTAATTAATTTTTTGAAGGCACTTTTTTTGAGCATCATCACCTCTTCCGGCAGCCTGGAAAGGATTCTAGCATTTGCATGAGACTCTTTCTTGTCAGTGGCTGCTGCTTTGGGGTTACATTGTTCAAGAAGACCAGTCACCGGGACACTGTTGCAGCTAAGGGAACGTGCTGTCTTTTTCTTGCCTTGAACAGATAAATAACTGAATAAGAAAGAGGTTAACTTATGTTTGGTAACATCTTGCGCATCTTCTGGAAAACAGTCATCTAGAGGGTCCCCTTGACCTTTCACTTGCTGACTGATCACACATGTATTGTAACTCACTGCTACTTTCTTAGGTTGAACTACTATTTTTCTGGAAGGAGTTTTATATTTTTCTTCCTCTACATACAGCTGAGAAGCATTACTGATAACATCAGAATTATGCTCCATTACCATATTAGGGATTCTTGCCTCATCACCAGAACTGATGTGGTGTAACCCATAATGCTGGCTAATGATTTGGGCTGCAGTATGTTGAATGATGTTCCAGTCTTGCAGAATATCTTCCCTAGTTGTGAACTGAGATGTTACAGTAAAGCGAATGATGAACTTGTCACGAATGGTTGCTGGAACAAGGAAGAGCTTGCCAGAACTGCTTAGTTCTTTCAGGAGTTTTTCTGTCAGCCAGTTGGGACCCTGTTTTAAATATGCATAGGGAAAAGAAAAATGTACAACTGTTACAATTTCCAGTGACATCCAAACATCTTTGTAAGAATTCCAGCATTCATATGAGAATTGGTAAAGTTTATTTGTAGTCCTTAGTGCCTCTGGAGAAATCATCTGTAGTCAAATAACACATGGCAATAATCTAAAAATACACTTTTTTTTTTTTTTTTTTTACCTTTAAACGAAATACAACCAATCCAAGATGTCTCTTGGCAGGAATTTCAAAGAGTGGATCACTTTCAACCAAAGATTCGAAGAATTTGGCTGTTTCAGTACCCTGTAATTAAGAAAAAAATAGTTATGTATTGGTTTGTCATAAACCCAGTGTAAGACACTAAGTAGTTAAAAAAAAAAAACACCCCTCCTCATTAAAACAGATCACTCCATTCATTTCCATGTATGGCAGCAAAGCTAAGAACAACAACAAAGCTAAGAATTTTTAAGACTGTCTATTTGTCCAAACCCTTGACAATGTACAAGAGTAGCTGGGCTACATATAGGACATTAGAGGTTTGAAGACTGAGTTTTACTTTTCTCAGATTAAATTCCTTTTGCAGCAACTGTTGATCCACAATATGATACACACACTCTAAAGACTTAAGCCTATGAAGTTTCACTGTAATGGGTTCAGCCATCCTTCACAGCCTGCCTCCAAAACAGCTGCCACTTTACCACAAGGAAAGCCTCTACAAACTTACTCAATGATGTGCAGAAGGTATTGACTTATCAAGTTGCTTTCCTTTGCCTATTGCTTCCAAGACGGGAACAGGAGACGTTTTGTCCACACAGTCAATCTTTACAGATTAGTTAAAGAGTAAAATCAGCACATTTAGTGTTCACAGGCAAACTTTGTACATGAGAGGGTTTGTTACTCAACTTTGCATGACTGAATTTAATAAACTCCACTACTGATAAATCAACATAATACACTTATGCTCATGCTGTTAATGTACATACATGCCGGATGTGAGCTTGAAGCTTTTTCACCCCAAATGAACGAATCACAAACCACAGCTTCAAAGAACGAAATCGACGACTCAATGGAATTTGCCAGTGCTGTGAAAACACAACAGCATATCAATAAGGGCAAAAACGACAGAAAGGACTGAGCCCTTACACTACAAGGTCTGTTGTTTCAGACTTGTACTCAAGTCAGAAATCTTCATCAAGACAACAAATTGCATGTTACTGAAACCCAACTAAGCCTAGCGAATAGCGATCAAGGAAATGCTATGTCTACATATTTCTCAATTATTTGCAAAAATAAGATTTTGTCTGTTCCAGGGAACAGAGGGGTGTTGTTTAGGATTTTAGTTAGTTACCAGCATATAACAACTCCTGTTTGCACTTACAGAGCGTTATCAACTTAAGATGTGTCCATTAACACTTCAGGATTGAGTGCTGACTTTGGTTCCTGCAATCTGAACACTGAAGTGCCATGCTGAACATTTTCCCAAGCCAACAAGAATTCATATAGCAGTAAACCCTTCCAGAGAAAATAACACCTACTGTATGAAGAAGAGTAACAAACCTTAAGAGTACATTTATAAGGCGCTACACAGTAACATGCAGGGTCCTATTCAACCACAAGAGGGACTCGGTGATTTTTTTTTCCCCTCTCTACACATACTCCCTCTAGTGAAAAGCATCATTGATTCCAAGAAAACAATCATCTTTTCAGGGCTTGGTTGAGATCATAGCTGAAACAATTGGCAGTTGAATATTCTTTTGTTTTACTGTACTGAAATCTGCTATAAAATGGTTATGAATTGAAATGCCTCAGCTCTCCTATCAATACATAAATCTGAAGAAAAATGTAATTCATGTTACTGTTGTTTCAGAGCATGGTGTTTCCATTGCTTAATTGTTTCTCTATTTTATCACATATCAAAGACGCAAGAAAACCATGCAAAATGTCATCAGTAAGAATTATTTTAACAATACAATGCACATAAAAATCTCTTCTAACAAAAAAAAAGCTAGGTTAGATCCCCACCTGTGTAAAAATCTTGAATACTTCAATCTCTATAAATGAAAACAATTTTACAACCAATTATCATAACCACTTCAAAGTTTTAATACTTAAGCTGCATTAAGACATCAGAATGATTGTTTTTATGCTGTTAAGTAGAAAGGCCACCTAAAACTAACTCCACAGTAATTTGACAGTCTACAATTATACATTTTATAGGCAATTTAAAGTATCAACTCAAATAACAACTTACCATAAAATCAACAGCAGCTCCTGAATTGGGATGTCTGAGGTAGACAGGGTTAACACTGAAGGTTTGATGTAACTTGTATTTATCTTTAACCCTATATCAATTGTAGAATGAACTGTATTTAGCCAAAAAAACATGCAAAGAAAGACTTTACAATTTGCATGTTATCCTTCTGGTGTTGTCTTTACTCACCAAAATCCAGTGCAGTCAAAATGAACCATCATCCATTTTGAAGGGTTAAAAGTAAAGGAATCTGCATACTCAATTCCATCCAAGAACAATCGAAATTCAGGACACACAAATGCTGTTCCTGCATACGCAGCATCAATGTGAAGCCAGAGTCCCTCAGCATCACCTGATAGAAATCATATCGTTGTTAGGTAAGGCATCTAATGAATCAGAGTACATGCTTAGTTAAAGTAGTATGTCTAGTTTTCAGAGAGAAGAGTACATTTTTGCAGGAGATGGACAGGTTAACAAAATAAAACACAAGACAAGCAATTGACAATCAAGTTATAATATAAAGCTGTGGAACTAGAACCAGATGTGATAATGCTGAATCCAGATGGAACCAACTGTACAAAAATTCACTATTCCTAATTTTGCATGAGGGTTTTTAACATTTGATTTCTGTCACCTGCCTTTTTACTAACTGAAATTCCCCAGTATAACTCATTCACACAAATCCAAAATAAATGCAAGCAAAAAGGACTCTGAGATAGAAGCCACGCTCTGATACATAATAGAAAGTGCCATAGATCTTCAGCACTTAATTGTCAGAATTTATGCTGGAATAGAATCTGCAATCATATCAAATTTACCTATCGAACTGGTGACCACAAAGGGTGTGTGGTCACACCAATCACTACCTTCAAAAGTCCTTTGCTAGGTTATTTAGTATCTGTCCTGCAATGGTACTGCAGTCTGTAGTGTATGCTCTGTGTATTGCCTGAGTAACCACATTAAAGATCTATCATCTGGGAAGTTTCATCCATTTGGAATGGAATGTATTTTAGCATCTTAATCTAAATCTTATAGAAATCACTTCAGAGACTTGTACTGACTCCACTCATCTTTGAAACACATTTGAAAAACTCAGCCTGTTAGTGTTTCTACTCTCCTTGGTTTTCACGTGAAAAATTGCCATACTATCTTCTCTGTGCTATCATAGTTTAAAATCAGGGGGAAAAGGACACTTACAAATTGGGCCCAGTTCTGAGAGATTGTCAAAAGCACAGACACCAGTTGTACCCAAAGTTGCACAAACCTAGAAGAGAACAAAACTGTTCAGATGACATTTTTTAAAAATAAATGGATGCAGCATTTTAAAACCAGGGAGGCTATTAATGTAGTAAAAATGAGATGACATCAATATCTTTGAGTTCAATAAAATGTAAAATTCTCATATACATTTTCATCTTCAACTGAAGTATTTTAACACAGTACAATTATATCTAAGACATTTCTTATGATGACATTAAGAATATTAATACTCCCAAACAGAAAGTTGAACGTACAAAGATGGGCACTAGGCCTTTCTTTCTGTCTTCTGCAATGGCTTTTTTCAGAGTTTCACCTCTAAGGGAAAAGTTCTCATCCACAGGCAGAAATTTCATCTTCACAAGAGAAATCAAGCCAGCTTTTTCTACAGAAGAATGTGCCTTTATAAAAAAAAAAAAAAAAAAAAAAAAAAAAAAAAGTAAGAAAGCAAGCTCTGAAGCTGAGAAACTGTGATAAATTAATAAATTATGGCTTTATAAAAGGCAATAAAAGCATAGATAAAGTTGTTGTTATAATTCAGACTAATCTAAGTATGAAAGTTTGTTCCTTGTCAAAAACAAAATGAAATAATACATTGTAATTTTAAGGAACACGTATGATCTGTTTATTAGGGTTCTGGTCTCTAAAAATCTAATGAGGCACACTTGTGTTTGGAGGGCCATTTATCAAAACTCGAAGTCTCTTATGGACCGCTAGGACCCTGCAAAATCTCATCTCACACCAGTTTCATTTCCCCATCTGCAGAAAACAATGTTAAAGCATTAGAGGGATTTGTTCATACTTGTATTTTTCTCTTTGTACAGTAATGCAAGTTCATGTTGTCATCTGTATGGTCTGGGTGAGATGAAAGTAAAATAGGTTTGTTTGTTTTTGTTGTTCGTTTGTTTTGTTTGTTTGTTTGTTTGTTTTGTTTTATTTTGTTTTGTTTTTTTGTAACCTACTTGATCAGATGCATATGCGATGAGACGAGAATTGAGCAAGGACTCATCAGCGTCTGGCTCAGAAAGCTTCATCTCCAGAATTTTGTTTTTCCTTGCTGCCAGCAGTGCAACCAATGTTGATTCACTCACAGTGCTCTGAAAAGACATTGCTCATTTACTGCAACATTTCAGTATTTTGTTGCTGTTTTGTCAAGGGTTTACTGAAGTCACTAAAATGCTCTCAACTACCTCTCCTCCCCCCCCCCCCCCCTTTTTTTTTTTAATTTTTAAATTTCCACATCTGCTTTTCTCAGATGCAATAGGAACTCACTAGCTAATGAACAGCTCTCTGGGCCAGCAACACAAAAAGTTCTTTAATTTTTGTATATTTTTAGTGTAGAGGACTGCAGTGCAGGACTGAGTAAATAAATTACTTCTGTTCTTCTATAGATTAAATGTACTATCTACCACAAAAACTACAAACCTGAGCAAAGCTCCTTATAACAACACAGACCCTTAGCATTAATTCCAGGGAATACTTGCTTAGGCTGTATGAAAGAAGGTTCAGACCTTGGATCTTGCAACTCCCAGAAGCACAAAGTCAACATCAGAAGAAGGAAAAACAATTTATGTGCTTCTGCCAGCAGTCTCTATTTGCTGGCAAGACAGTGACAAGTCTTCCTTTACTCTAATTGTGCAGGAATAACTTTGGTGGATACTCTAGTGATGTGAAACAGACTGAAGAAACCAGATCTGATTATCTCATTTATCCTTTAGTAAGTCCACAGAAGTACCTGCTCCTAGTCCATAATGCAATAAGGACTAAAAGCAATAGTAATTCCTATTCCTTAACCATCTAAATTTAATCCTAAAATCTGGGAAGGAAACATCAAGACTAGATTTGTCCCCATAAAGACTTACATGGCAAATCTTGTGGATTTTGCCCCAAGGAAAATGATCACCTATAGGGAGATTTACTCCAGTGATCACAGAAATGTTGATGAGGTCACCTCTGATCTGCCTTACCTGTAATACTCCTCCACCCACACTGTCAGGATGGTGGTGCAGGAATTTATCTGGAAGGCCCAGCATTTTAGCCAACCAATCCATCACATTCATTTCCAGTTCTGTACAGGCTGGACTGGAGGCCTAGAAAATCAAACAAAGAGAAAGATATTCTAAATTCACCTAGCAAATACAATAGGAGTTTAACCCTTTGAGAGCATGCCACATATCACATTTTAATTAATAGCTATTAACACTCATTTGCCTTGGGAGAAATCTCACCTAGACCCAACAAAGGTGCAGATTACAAACTTTGTAGCATTAGATATATAAACAGCTAACCCTATAAGGCTATGGTTCATAACTGGCAGAGTGAAACACTATTATAATAAAAATGATGTTTGGTGAGTTCTCTAATACAGACATTGATGCTGAGATTGCAGTTTAGGTACCTTGCTCATTCTCTTATTACCAGTTGCTCTCTTGCAATATGAAATACAGAGACTCTCACCAACCTCCTTAAAATGTTCTCTTCAGCTTCCTAGCATCACCTCAGTGCAGAGCTTCTGAACTACCAATAATTTTAGAGTCATTAAGAAGTCACAACAAGCCATTCGAGGATAAAATGCAGAACTACAGTTCACCATAAGCATATGCTCTTGGTTCCTAAACAGAAAGGAGACTGATTCGCCTTTCAGCTGAGGAGAGTTAAGGGTGGGTTTTTGAAGAGCAGCAAAAGAAAGATAGAAGTTGTTCCACAGTGCCAAGCTTTCCACTTATGAAAGAATTTCATAACTTATTTATGTTACAAAATTAAAATTCTGTCAAAACGAGGCGGAGAACATGGAAAATGGATGTTCCTGTATATGCAATGAGCTAATCAGATACATGTATGTGGAGACTGTAAACAAATTCTTATAGGTTTACAAGTTTCTACTGCTTCTTAACATGGAGACGTACATCTAAAGATTTGGGAACCTTCACCAATGGAGAAGACATTGGCTTCAGAATCCCACTCTGGTCTGTAGAGTCATAGCCAAGTAACGTTAGGTAGTGGCAGAAAATACTCAGACATTCTGGGACAAGCTGCCAAACAATCTATTTTAGAAGAAGAATAGTAAATGTGTTCTCTCAAACAATCAGGAGAAATGAAATGAAGCCCAGCCTAACTTGCAGTCGTGGGTGCTTGCTTCTCTACTGCCTGCAGTGCTTGTGCAACAGTCTTAGCACCGGGAGTAAGCAAACCATCAGGAAACAACACCAGCTGTTTGGATATGCAAATAATTAGAAAACATACCTTTCTAGCGGTGTATTTTCTTCATTCAACTCTGATTACTAGGTAATGTTTGGTTTTATAGACATAATTTATATACTTTTACAGGTGACATTCTTCAATTATGCAAACAGCTTACAATACAATGGTTTACAGTAAAAAGTTGTATTGACACACAGAACTAGAAAGAATGACTATGACATATTCCTCCATAACATACACATGAGAAGGATATCTAAAGTAACAAAATAAAAAAAAAGAGTAGTTTACCCATGTGAATCCCAAGCAGTTAATTGCATCAGCCAACATATCTCCGAGGAGTGAAGGCCAAGAAGTAAGAGCTGGAAAGTAGGCATGCATGTGCGGACTTTGCCAATGGACAACCTAGAACAAAATTATCTGGAAGTTAAGTCTGAAAAAGTGGCAAAATTCTTTACAAGATGTAGTGATTAGCATCTGTTTTAAGTGATGGGAAAGGATCACAGCAGCATAATATGCGCAATTCTAGAACAGCTAGCAGAAAGCTACAGAGATAATATCAACAGGAGTGCAGCAGTAGCAAATGATAACACTGTGTCGTTACTAGATAAATTCCAAATTATAGCAAAAGCATTTATCTGAATTTAACAGGCAGACAAAGATTTTGAACAGGAAAGAATGGTCTTTTGAAAATTACTGCACGAAGTCTGAAAGACTTATCCATATATGGGGAATCCCCAAATCAACTGTGTTAGTTGTTCTTGCTCGTTTCATCAGCTTGTCTTTAGCTATACGCAGCAATTCATAATTACATAGCCCTCCTCTTCTGAAGGAACTTGTATGCTGGACACTAATGTAAGCATGTATCTAAACAAATGTTCAGCAGAATTTGTGTACTCCCAGATGTGGGTGTTTACCGCAGGTATTAGTGACTTTTTCCTGTCACAATTGTAATTTATTTCTTACCCCAGGCATAATAATCTTCTCTATATCTCCAAAGATGTTGTCCCAGCTGTCTGGGTCCATCGGGGCAGAATCCGGCAACTGAGCTCTCATGTAACCTGGCTGTACATCAGGAATCACCCGTCTCTCTCTCACATTGCTCAGGTACTGGCAAATGTAATCCACCATCTCTTTCCCTGGAAGAAGCAAACCAATGCTTTGCTTTGAGTTTAGACTGCAGGTAAACCAATTAGCATGACTAGCACTTCATGCAATGCATCGTTAGCATTTGGCAGGGCTTGAAATACTGATCCAAGGACAGCCATGGGAACTAAAACACCAAATGACCCATAGCCCCACTTATCCTATGCACAAGTACTTCAGGAGATTCAGAAGCAATGAGACACTCCTCAGTCTCATTGCTTCTAGTTCTTATCATACCTGAACATCAGAATGGAGCAGGAACATACAAGAAATTCATGTAAATCTCATGTTGCTAGCTGGCAGCTACAGAGAAGTCCAAATTAAAAAGCCCATTTTACCACATCCATTAACAATTTTAAAATAGATACAGAATTTACAAAAAATAAATATTAATTTTCTGTTCAACATTTGATTCAGACTAGTCCTCTGAGTCTTAGCTTAAGGCTATATGAATCATCAGCGAAAATAATACTTGTCAGCGTTCCCTGAGAATAAACTCATCACTTATTTAAGAAAATACAGCCATATTCCATAGCACTAGTCACAATTCACTGTATCATGAACCAGTCTCACGAATTAATGCTCCTGCTTATCTGGGAACACACACATAACACCCCACACACATGGGAGCTGTATGACCTTCTGAAGGTTTCTGATTATTCAGTGAACATCCTTCTACAGAAGAGACTGGGCAGCAATCAGGAGACCTGAATTAATCTCTGTCTCTGTGACTAGATGACCTAGGAAAAGTTACTCAACCTTTACACCTTACCTGCCTGACGCAGCTTCTAGAGCAGGCTTCATAGGGACAAAACAGATTCCTGGGGTTACTTCATTGTCATTACTCAATAGCTCAAATATATCTTTAAAGTATTATCATGGGTACAGTTACAGTCTGTTTGATTACTGGGGTGATAGAGATTTTCTTACCAACAGATGAAGTGAAATTGCATTCACAAGAATTGTCATAATGCCTCATGCTTCCCTGGTATTAAGACATAACTCCTTTTGCATCCTCTGAAAACTACACAGCTCCACACCTAATCTCCACTTAATAGGCAATTTTCTCCAGCCATGGGACCAAAGTTTGCTCCCCGTCTCCAGAATTGCACCAGTAAAGTTTCATGGTCTCAGCCAGAAAAGAGACATCGTACATAGCCCCTTCACATGTTTATTCAGCATCAGTTTTGGAGCTTTCCCACAGTATTTTAAATGAGAGATCAAAAAGCCTAACTCATCCACTTACTCTAACTCCATTAAATCAAACTCAGCCCAGGGATATATTATTGTCTCAACCCCAGCAGATCTAAAGCCTCAAGGACATGTGCCGTTAAAAAGTACGGAGCCCACCACCATTTCTAGGTACCATTCACAGCCCTCCAACAGTTCTTCGCCATGGGCAAACGCTACCTGCTTCCAAGAGCAGAGGACCACTCACCTCTCCGTCTGTACTCCTCAGGCTCCATACTGATTCCTTCTAAAAGCACCTCTTCAGACTTGGCCCGCAACCCTTCAGTGAGCTGTGGACAGTTCAGTCTGGTGCCCTGCTAGCTGCTCACGCTTTATAGCTCTTGTTATCTCAGACTCAGGCATTCTGGAAAAGGTTTAACGTAGGCAGGTTATTGGTGAGTGTTTATCTAACTCCTCCCAGTTGAGGGCTTTTAGTCTCTTGTATGTTCTCATCTCTGCTCTTTTGATGTGTAAGACAGTACATCTCTGAGATGAGCTGCCTCTGCTCTGCCCCAAAATGAGGCTGCCTTTCCCATCTTGAAAGGACCTTTCAGAAGTCTCACATTAATCCATCATAAATACAAGACATATTATCATGAGACTCATGGGAGAGGAAGCTCAAGAGCTTCCAAAACCAAATAAAAGCAGCTGTATTACTTTTGCACACTGAAACCATTACTTTGTCATTGTAACGAAGGGATCAGTATGTAACAAATTTGACACTGCAGTTCTAAGTGGGGAGTTTTAAAAAATAAAAATCTAGAAATGAGTTTTACCGAGAAGAGAGCATCCCAATTCATCAGTCCCTCATTGATGGAAGGAAAGGCAATACAGTTGTTACCAGTTCCAGAGCTGCAATACAAAGCAGTGATCCTCTTTATGGAAATTCTGCCCTTCCAGATCAGACCAGGTTATATTGCACAGTTGCACTCCTCCACTGGTATCACCTTAGACTGCTGAGCTGGGAAAACACATCACCTTTGCACATTGTGCTTGCTTCTCTCACATATGATATGTGTAAGCACTGGGATATGACCTTATATTTCCAGAATTCCTCCAAGTCCTCCACCTGGATTGTTCTCTGTTTGGAAGAATGGCCACAGAGTCCCCCCTTGTTCCAGTTTTAGGGACTGAAAACCCATCCTGATCTGTTTTGGCAGCACTTTTGATACTATTCAATGTTGAGCGCTAGCCGTCTTCATAAGAAGGAACTCACTCTACACTGATACCAGGCAGTCCTGGGAGAAAAGAGAAGTAGAACTTAAAGATCTTAATGGTCTAAATGGACCAAACACTAGAAATAGAAATTGTTATGTAAGATAACATATGCTTGCCTTATTTTTGCTATTCCTGGAGCTCCTGCTCACAGCAGGCCACTGTTGGAACAGGATACCAGGCTAGGCAGCCCCTTAGTCTGGTACATTGCAGCAGTTTCTCTGTTCTCATGATACAAAAGGAAACTGGCTGTCAGAGAAGCTTTGACTTTCTGCCTCGTGTACTACAATGCATTTGGAACTCTTTCATTATTCTAATAAAGTAGTTACTGCTTCCTCCACAGTGTACTTTCTACAGAACAGTGTGAAAACCATTCCTAGTTTCTGCTGCGATTAGATATTTGAGAAAGAACTGTTTCAGAGATACAAAGATACTCTGATACACACACAGATTAATATATTAAATAAAAAAATAAATTGATAAAAAAAAAGGCAGTGAAAGAAGAGTGCAAGAAGAGCACACAGCAACATATCATATGCATATTCATTTGCTTTATCTCACATTTCCCTGGAAACATCAAGAAAAAGTTAACAAGATTCCCCCAGAACTTATTATGAATTTAGGAACCTCTCTTGACTTTACTGTAAATGCTATCAGACAGGGGAACAAATAAAGTGAGAAGGGGCTGGCCTGACCAAGTCAAAAAGAACTCAGTTCTCAAAAACTCTGACTATAGCTCATTACAAGCAACTAATACATTATTTTAAATAGGAAGCATACCTGTTCAAAGAAAGCTGGCAGCTAATTACATTTTTGATTTCAGTTTGGAACAGCAAATAAGAAGCAATAATTTCAACAATGCTTCCAGAGCTGAACTGCACAATAAATATACCACATGACATATATCCTACGTCTTTTGCTCAAAGCTGATAGTTTGACCAGGTTGGTCTTTCATTCTGTACAGAAGAGAACAAACAGCAGGTCCTGTTTGGAAATAGAACAAAATAGGTAATAACGCATTACAGGTAGGGTAAATATTACTAGAGATAAATGTATTTTTGTTTTAGCTACCCTGTGCTTGGAATGATTTTGTTACAGACCATGAGGAATAGAATATTTGCTCACAGGAAGCAGAACGAACAGAAAAGGTTCTCTTCATTGTTTGCTACAAAGGTCCGTGGGAAATTCTCCATTTGGACATGACCATTACCACTATCACCACTCAGTCTAACGCTGAAGTTCTTATCGTTATTAAGAGTTCACACAGATTAAAGTGTTGTTAAGTTTCCGGGATGTGAGGACACAAATGTTATTTCGATCACAGAATAATTTAGTTGGAGAAATGCCTAACCAGCACATTTAACTTGACTATTTTTTTCCTGCTTTTGCTAGTGACATAATGGATGATTTTTAAGAAAACCCTAAAATACACTAAGTTTCCAATTAGTCACTGCAGAAGGCTTGCTTCAAGTTCTAGGACAAACTGAGTACTACTGTATACTTGGAAAATAATCTAAAAATCAGCACCATAGATTTTCATTACTATCATCTCTTGATTATTTTCAGGTCCTAATTTACCAGTTTGGATCATATTTGCCAACTTTATATCAATATTAGGATTTTTTCCTAACTAACAATTCTACAAACTCATATCCAAGTTTGAAGGAGGAAGATTGATGTTGTTTTGTATAATGTGATTGTGTCCATTTTTCCCTCTTACCTTTGTGGGATTTTCTCAGCCTAACACTGTTTTTTCATATTCTTCTGACACATCTGCCTGACACATCAGTTTTGACCTTCCAGTGCAGATAAAAACAATTGAAATGGAATTGATTCTACACTATATATATGTGGAAAAGATATTTAATTGTAAAATAGAAAAAGTAGGCCAGAGTACAGTTTTAAGGGTAATTCTTCTGTATACAGTATAGATAAACTAGACTTTTTGCTTAAGTTTATATAAACAATTCCATAAAAGCAGTGAAACATGGAACAACAAAGCAAAGCACAAATAGTTTTATCTTACAAAAAAGGAATCTGCACAGTAGTTCAAAATGTATGTAACACAGCACTGAACAATCTTAAGGCAGCTCAGTCTAAGCACAGGACTAGAAGCCAGGAACTCCTGAGATCCATTCCCAGGTCTACCACAGGTTCATGTGGTTTTGGGCCAATTGTTTAACACTCCCTGTGTTGCGCTTATACCAGTTATAAAATTGAGACAACAACACTCACTTACCTGCCTCAGGCAGTATAGTAAGGGTTCTTTAAAAGATTTTACAATGCTCTGAAGATGTTATATTTTATATAAATCTTAAGTATAATATATCACTGCACAGACACACACAAACACAGTATCACAGTGAAGAACAATGATGCCAGGTAAGAGCAGCATCACTACAACAAAAAATTCCTTGTCCAATTGCATAATTAAAATGGAAGAGTCTGTTTAGAAAATGCATCAATGAAATAATTTCAAGGCTATTGGGGAAAACAGATCAATAGAATATTCTAAAAGAACTATACTCTTTGTGTTCCAATGGAGACATTCTTTTCTACTCATTTACTGAACTTTAAAATGTTTGTATGTGAAAACTGTAAGACACAAGTTTCAATGCCTCCACTATCAAATTTTGCCTGTTACATAAATTGGGATTTTCCGTTTTGTTTTGATTACAAATTACATTCTTTCAAGAAATATACCATCCACAATAAAACTGGCTGCTAGCTTACTTTAAATGACCTATAGGCTAAACATTTTTCTCATAATTTTTCCTCATCTTTGCTGAAAAATACTTATGCTAGATGTATGTGTAGAAATTATAAAAACATGCAGCATATGTACAAACTGAAAAGTTTAAAAAATATTAGCTTCATATACATGTAAATCTACTTGGATATATTTGAAATTAAATATAAAAATTTCACCGCCTAAAAAAAAAACCCAAAAAACGGTTTTCAGAGAATCTGAGACAACTACTTAAAGCTGTACAAAGATTTCCACCTGGAAATGACTTATTCAGAGAAGTTTAAGTTGTTACCATGTAGAAATAACTGTTAATTCATTTTGTCACATAATTCATTTTCAAGTTGTCAGCTTAAATCAACATCACCCTTAAAACTGTTCTGTTTTTCAGAAGTTAGATTCATACTAAAATCAAAAATTTCACAAAAACATTGGCTTCTCATGTTTCTGGATCCCTTCAAAAAGATTTATCAACTTATTTTGAAACTGTAAAAAAAACAACTATTTACAGTATTTCATTTTAAATACTTTTCACAATTTCTAAATTCAGAATTTTTATGTTACAAGAAATTCATCAGAGCTCACGGCTTAAGTCCAGTTATCAACTTGTAGCATCTTCTCTATCATGTAATCCTGTGTCTGTACCTATACAGTGTACAGTTCAAGATTGTACTGCAGGTTTTTGAAAGTAACAGGCTTTGCAGTATGTTCTCTTTTATTAAACAGCTTCTTTATTAGTCTGGAGGCGGTTCATTGCCTCTAACTTCTGCCGATAGGCCTCTGCTTCTTGCTCTTTCTTTAGAAGCTGCTGACGATATTTTTGTGCTTCTCTGTTTGCCTCATCCAGCTGCTTCTGAAGAGTTTCTCTTTCCTATTAAAAACAGAACCAGCAATATTTTGTCAAATATGTATTAAATGCAAGTTAAAATGGCAAATACTTTTTCTTTACATGCAGGTTAAGTGTTAGGGCATCACACTGAAATTGTTCAGTTCATATTTGGGCAAACCTATATGAATACTGCTCAGTAAATTAGGCATGAATCTTGACAATTTCTCACAGTAAGACTTGAAGTCTAAATATAGTACAACTAAGTTTCTTTAGCTGCAGAGATAACAAGCAAGTCTTCAAAGAAAAATGGTGCAGCACAAAAACAGATAGTGACCAAATACTAACATGACATTTTCCCAATGATTCAATTCCCTGTGATTTTTTTTTTTAATCGACTTCTAATAAGAATGGAATCCAGTCTAACAGGACTGTCAATTTCCATTGTATTTCTAATCAGATAGTACTGTCTGTTACAAAAACTGATAACTATCAGCAGTGTGCACTGGAAAGTGACAGCTACTCACTAACTGGAATATATACATACTTGGTTTCTTAAATGAAGTGATTTAAGTGATTGATACCATGCAATGCAGAGGTATAACAACACCCCCAAGGACACTGCAGATTTATGAATTAACAGGTATTTAGTGAGGTAAGCTTTTTGAACCCAAGAGGACTAACTTATGCATCATTCTGCGTACAAATTATATGGGGATGGCTATAACATAGCTTCCAAGCAAAATAATATGGAAAATGCCACTTCCTATGAAGCTTCCACAGGAACTAAGGAGAATGTATTTCTATCTGCAGTGACGCTGATACTATAATTTTGTTTGATGCTGTACTGAGTCTAATTGGAAAAGCAATTTGCTTGGAAAAACAGTTTTGTTTTGATCTTCAACCAAATACTACTTTATTAAAGTAAGTGTATCATATTTTATGAGTAAGGTAATATTTGATTTCACATCATTTTTTCCACTGTAGCTGAAGTAGCGACAGGAGGGTGGCTGTCAGAGAAGCAATCGATTTCCCAGAAAAACAAAACTATCAAAAACTGAAACCCAGCAAAAGTTGCCTTTTCACCTTATCCCCATCTCAGCAGTTCAGCATCACATTCCCACTTAATACCTCAAACAGTTGTTCAACATTTCTCCCCCCACCCCCAGAACATCATCCCTATTCTTCACCTCTTTGATACACTCACGTATTTTCATGATCAGAGCCTGAAAATACAAAATACTCTGCCTCTGCAAATACTTGCTACTGTTCTCAGTACTTGTCACAGCCACATTTAGCAGTCACATGCTGTGCTGAATGTGCTGAAATACACTGACATAGATGATCTGATCATTGCTAACAGCAGCATCTGTATATCAAAAACAACAGGTGAAGGAGCAGTGTTATTAACAAGTTTATAAAGACTAGCTATAAAACAGAACAGCGCTAACTCTGTAAATGAAACCTGATTTTATACTTTACACAAGGTTTTAAGAGCTAAAAGATACTAGCGTTCATGGGTTTGCTTCATTTGAAGCATATGCTCAAAATGAGAGTTCATCTGATCTTGTTGCTTATTTGAAAAGGATGTTCAGCCTCCATCTCTGAGAATTTGGATTCTGCTTTTTAAGTAACATTATAAATGGCCAATTCATGTAGCTACTAGACTGACCAGTGCCAAGTGCTAAGGCAAAATGAACGGTGGAGCCTACATCTCACAAAGGATCTGAAATACACCAGTGTTGTTCCAACACCAGTCCAACCAAAATATATTGCTATTTCTGTAATTATCAATGTAATTTAAGCAGAGCCAACAAAGCTTACATAATACAGCCTTGTGGAGTACTAAGTTGGGGAAAAATTGCTACAGACAGTTCTTAAAGTAGCAGTCAAAACAGTGGATCCTGCTACACATGCAAAGTGGGCCTTCCCCCGTGTGGGCACTGAGCTCTGGCATAATCTGAGCTGAGCGTTATCTATCTCACAAATTTGTCATGCAATTAAACGTCCTACTGTCGAGAAGCAGAGCTGGTCTATTGGGCTGCAGAAGGGTGAGAACCAGCAGCAGCTCATTGGCCAGAGGCTCTGCAGCACATTACAAAAAATAAGACACTATCACTACGGCAGAGCACATTTAGACTGCAAGCACTCACGGGCAGAGATCAAACTCAGAACAACTCTTGTGAGCACTTTCCACAGAAGGGAGAAATAGAGATGTACAGCCACACTGGGTGTAAGCACATTAAGAAAAGAATGGACAAAAGGAGAAAAAAATAAGTCTCAGTGGCAGAGACGGTAAGATAAAACTGGTAACCATCAGGCAGACTAGCAACTCAAAGCATGTAGATTTGTCTGAGAACTAACACACGTAGTTTTCATACAGACCTAGTCTTTATGTAAGCAGAATAAGCTGAAGAACTGGGGCCAAATATACTAACTAGGCAGTGGACCAACAATTCTGGAGGAACATTACAGACCTACTGTGGACTGAACAGTGAAAACTGGTTCCTTAACTTTGTTATCTAAGATTAAGGAGGACTATAACTGGGGTCTTAATTTCAACAAAACTAGAAAATGTTCTTAGGGTGCTCTTCAGAACACAAGAGAAAATGTTTCAATTCTCTAAAATCCTTTTCTACCATATAAAAGCTTATACAGATGAAAATCAGGTTAGAGAAGTTTGAGTGCTCTTAAGGAATCTTCTATTTTATAAGGGAATTTTCTTTATTACATACAACTTTCCTTAACAGTCTACATATTGAAGATAGAGGCACCTATAATTAAAATTAAAATAACTAAGCTAAGCAGGAAAAAACAGAAATATGAATTCATTAATATAATTCATTTGCAATCATATTTTTTTTTTTTTAGTCTAATTGTCCTGGTTGTTTCTAAAGCATGTCACCTTTCCAACATGCAACAAGACAGTAACATGCAAGAATGAAAATACAATTCACTGTATGTTAATGAATTATGCATGAAAATGAAAAACAGACCATCTGCATGACAGTGTTTTTTTGCTGCCATCATATGTGTAATTAAACATCACACAGCTTAGGAAGACTGCTATCCCTCTCAAAAACGAGCTGCAATGATTGAATTTAACAGACAAATGAGACAGTCAAAAAACA